GCTGTCACAGACAGAGGTACAGTTTGATGTAGGAAGGAATAGTCGTCTGGTCCCTGTATTTCGTGACACAGAGGTGGAGATTTATTTTGAATCATTTGAGCGGATAGCGACAGCCTTGCGTTGGCCGCGGGATGCGTGGGCCATCCTGCTGCAGTGCAAGCTGGTGGGCACAGGAAGTTTGTTCCTCGTTGTCCGCTGAGTGCAGTTTGGACTACGACAAACTGAAAAGTGCGATCCTGCTAGCCTACGAACTAGTCCCCGAGGGTTATAGGCAGCGATTTCGGGGGTTGAAAAAGCTGCAGGGTCAATCCTTCCTGGATTTTGCGAGGGCAAAGAGTGTCCTCTTTGACCGATGGTGTATGGCCTGTAAAGCTGCAGACCTAGATTTGGTACAGGAGTTAATTCTCATTGAGGAATTTAAAAACTGCATCTCCGAGCGGATGGCAGTATATCTGAACGAACAGAAAGTCTCCACTTTGCAGCAGGCCGCGACACTGGCTGACGAGTTCACACTCGTCCATAAAGCCGTGTCGTTAAGCAAGAGCGACGCGACACCCTAGCGAAGGCTAGCAGTGCTAGTGGTGAACAAGGCACGAGGGGGGAGGTGCCTGGGCCTTGTCCCAGGTCAGACCAGAAATGTTTTTACTGTTTTAAATCTGGCCATTTAGTAGCAAATTGTAAGACCTACAAACAGAAACAGTCAGTCTCAAGGGCTGGAGTGTGCCTGCTAACGAAGCTAATGCAGGCATGGTTTCAAGATCCAGAATAAAGCTGTTTCTTTTGCCACAAGCCTGGCCACCTGATTGCTCACTGTTCAAAAGCCAACTCAAAGCAAAATCGATCTGCTTTCAAAAGAGTGAACTGTGGTTCACAAACGGGCAAAGTTGCCAGTCCTAGGCAACAATTGGAGCATAATTGCTCAGTGGTGTCATTTGGTGAATGTCAGAGGTCACCTAATTATGAGATGCCACCTGTTGACAATCTTTCGGGTCCAGATGACCTGCAGTGTGACACACTGTGTACAACACAAACATTCAAACCTGCACCTCTGGCTAACCAGCATACCTGTCGCCATGACCTAGCGAAGAAGCGTCTGAAAAGGCCTTTTAGCTGTTCGCTGGGTTCTCCATATGTGAAGGCTCAAAACACACCTGGCTGTCGCTTTGGACACTATTTTGAGGGACTTGAGCCAATCCCGTTCAGTGTTTTCGACCCATCAAAAAGGTCAGATTCGGCAGGCTATGCCTAACTGTTATCATGGTGCATGGTAAGTGATATGTTTAAAAGCTGGGTAGGACATTCTGTGACAGACCACTGGTTTGTATTTATGGGAGGGGCTGTTACGGCCCTAGCTGGGCCCCCTGATACTGCCCTTGTGTGGGCGTGGTGTTTTTCTCCGCCTCCTCCTCTCTTGCTCCACCCCTCTGTCTCTCTCTTGCTCTTTTTTATACACATATATCCTGTCGCAGATCATTTGAATAACAAAGAAATTAAGACATAAGATTTGTATTATTTTATAATTGATTAAATTCAATATCTCAAACCAAGCACTGCATCTTTTTATGGGTACTGCAAATATAAACAAAGCTTATATGCAGTGAATGTGTTTTTGCTATTACAACAATTATACAAACATATAAAGAACATTTAGCTTTTTTTCTCCCCCTCAAAATAGTCCTTATAAACACAAAAACCCTCCAGTTTACATAAGGTGACTGGGTAACGTGAACAAAAAATCCCAGCCTCGGATGTGGTCGCTCTTCTCGGCCAGGAAAAGCTTCACAGAAGACTTCCACATCCTCCAATCAACATTATGGAATCCCAATAAAATAAACTGTTCTGAGCTCCCGCTCGGAGGTCAGCATTGTCTTCTTCTGGAGTCACCTTGATGACTCTTCTAGCTTTCATGTGGGGACGTAACACTGTTTCAGTCATACACGACCGTGTGTGCGCTGAGCGTGGCTGCTCGTGTGT